CATGCTGCTGATACTCTATTTGGAGGAGCCTGATGATAAACAAGTAAATAGCAAATAAATGAGACTATGGCAAAGAGCGATATGCACTATGGAGAAAACAGAGCAAGATATGATGTAAAGTATGGGAGAGAATAGTTGAGGTGGAGTGGTTAGAGAGGGTCTCTGTGAAAAGGTGACATTTAAGCTGGGGCCTGAAGGATGAGAGGGAGCCAATAATAGAGGAAGATCTGGGGAAACAGCTGGCACAGATGATAGCTAATCGAAGGTTCCAGGGCTGGACCGGGCACAGTGGCTCATGCTTATAATCCCAACACTTTGGGAGGTTGAGGTAGGAGGATTGCTTGAGGCCAGGAGTTTGAGACCAGCCTGGGCAACAAAGTGAGATCCTGTCTCTACAAAAAAATAAATAAATAAAAATAAAATAAATAAAGTTCCCAGGAGTGTACTGAGCACAGTGTGTTCACAGACCAGGAAGGTGGGTGTGGCCAGTTTAGAGTGGGAGAGGAGAGTAATAGGAAATGAGATCAGAGAGGCCAAGGCCAAGGCCTGACCAGAAGGTTCTGTCCTGCAGCTATAATTCTGTTCACCCCTCCCAGTGTTCCTGTTGGTGTTGGGCTTTTATTCCATCCACAGTTACTAGTGCTTATATTAGACCAGGGTCTGTGGTAAGCCCTTTACACACATTATCTCATTTAAGGCCCATAATAGGCCTAAGAAGGCCCAGTTTGAAAGTCACATTTCTTGTTCAATTTCTGTCAATGATCAGATCAGTTTTCCCAGAAAACCAGTCAGAGCTAATGGGCTGCCCACGTCTCAAATGGTATTGTCTCAGTGAGTATAAGAGAATAAAGCCCCAGGAGCCCTCCCGAGCCAGGTGCATCCCACACTGTAGAAGGTTATCAAAGAGTCTTGGGATTAAAGCTGGGTTCTCTGGCTCGAGTCCCCACGGGGGGCAGACTGGGCTGGTGTGCAGCTTTGATCAACAAGTGACCGGTAAGACATGAGAGAACGTTCAAATCCAAATTCATGCAGAATCCTCTAATGAGCTAGAAGAGAGGGTGGGAAAGAGAGAGACACTGAATATTTTCCCTCCCTTACTTGATCTCAACAGTTATACAGTACTTCACTCGCTCACTGGGTAGTTATTGAGCACCTACTGTGTGCCAGGCCTGAAAGGGGACACAGCTTAGCTTTGTGTGGTTGGGCTGGAATGCGAGCTGAAATAAATGAGCCTTGGCTCTGCTCCGGCTGCTTGAGCCCAGGAAGAGGGATCCTTCCTACAAATTCTTCTGCCTGGAAGGAACACCAGTTTTCTGATTCACAGTAAAGAGAAATACAATCATGTGTCACTTAACAACACGGATACGTTCTGAGAAATGCATCATTAGCTGATTCCTCATAGAGAACATCACAGAGCGTACTTGTACAAAGCTAGATGGTGCAGCCTACTACACACCTAGGCTCTATTCCTAGGCTACAAACCTGTGCAGCATGCCACCGTGCTGAATACCGAAGGCAACTGTAACACAGCAGGAAGGATTTGTGTATCTAAACATAGAAAAAAATATAGTAAAAATACAATATTCATAATCTTACGGGACCACCATCGTATATACGGTCTATCACTGACCAAAATGTCATTATGCATTGATGGTATGTGCTGACAGAGGCAGCGGATACTGTAGAGGACAAAAAATACAAAGTTCCCGCTTGCTTGGAGCTCACATTCCAGAGACAGAGACCAAAAATACCTGCTCTGAAGAAAAATCAAGCAAATGGAAATGACCGGGGTGCTAGTTGATATTTTAGATCTGCTGGTCAGGGTGGCTTGCTCTGAGGCAGGACCTCTGATCTGGTTCCTCAGAGGAGGGGGAGAGAAGAACCAAGCAAAAGTTTAGAGTAAAAGATTTCTAGACAGTGGCACAGTAAATTTGCAAAGACCCTGAGTTAATCGTCAACGTGGCGTGTTTGAGGAATATAGCAAGACCAGTGTAACAAGAAGAGAGGAGAGAAGGCAAAAGCTAGAAGTTGGGTCAGATCCCACAGGGCCTCGTGGGCCGTGATATGGAATCTCATAGATTATGCTAACATGGAAGGAAGCCACAGGCCAGTCCCAGTAGCAGGTAGCCTTGTGTTTGTAAAAGGATGACTCTAACTGCTGTTACCAGCATTGTGCTCAGTGCCGTGGAGGCACATAAAACAATTTTGCAACATTATATAATTACACAAATACTGTGTATCTACCGCAGTATAAAAGACATAGGGCTAATCACAGCAACATTATTCACAGTAGCCAAAAGGTAGAAACAACCCAAATGTCCATGGATGGAAGAATAGATAAACAAAATGTGGCATATACACACAATGGATATTATTCAATCTTAAAAAGGAACAAAACTCTGGTACATGCTATAACATGGATGAACCTTGAAAATGTAAGTAAAATATGCCAGACACAAAAGGATAAATATTATATGATTTCATTTATGTGAGGTACCTAGAATAGTCAAAGTCATAAAGCGGAAAGTGGAACGGTGGTTGCTAGCAGCTGGGGGGCAGGGAGGAACGGGGAGATAGTGTTTAATGGGTACAGAGTTTCAGTTGGGTTGATAAAAAAGTTCCGGAGATGGACAATGGAGCTGAGTGCACAACAATGTGAATTTACTTAATGCCACTGAATTGTACACTTAAAAATAGTTAAAATGGTAAATTTTATGTACATTTTATCACCATAAAATATATTTTAAAAAATACATTTAAAAAATTTTTTAAAAAATAGAGTTAGGATGTAGAAATAGAAGAGTGGGCATTCTGGGCAGAGGCGACACGTGCAAAGGTCCCAAGGCAGGAATGTGCCTGGCATGTTCTGAGGAACAGCAAGGAGGCTGACGTGTCTGGAACACAATGAAGAGAGTAATGGGTGAGGGCTAATCGTGGCCTCGTGGGATCCTGTAGTTTCTTGTGGGAATCCAGTGGGAGTGGGAAGCCACCGGAGGGATTTGAGCAGACAGGTGATACGATCTAACCTTTGTTAAAACAGGAACATTCTGGCTGCTGCATTCTTTAGTCGCAGTCTCATTTGCACAGGGGCGTAAGAAAAGCACCTCCCTCAGTGGGTAACTGTGTCTGGCACGGAGCAAGCATTCAGTACAGGGTACGCATTATTGTGATGGAAATCCAAAGAAAGACCACAGTCCCTTGAGGAGAAGTTTTGGAGGACTTTGTGGAGTTAGCAGTTCAACAAGACACAGAGGGATGAAAAGATTTCCACAGACATGGATGAAGGGGAGGAGAGGGCTTTATGGGTAGAAGGAACTGTGTGGTTAACAGCACATGAAGGAAAACAGAGCCGGCACCTGGGCTGAGGGAGGAGCAGAGTAGAAAGGAGGTGAGGTTTGATCAGCCCTAGCTGGTCGAGAAGTGTGTACTCAAGAGCCAAGGTGATGGGAGCCTTGAAGGCTTGACGTTTGTAGCAGACGTCAAGATCTGAGCTGTGATATCAGAAAAACTGAAGCCACATCGCTAAGCCTGGAGCTGGAAGAACTGGGGGGCAGGATCGTCAGGATGCTATGAAAGGCTAAGGGCGGCCAGACACAGGGCTCAGCGGCTGGGCTGGAGAAGCAGAGAATCAAGAGGACGACTTGCGGCGTGGCAGAAAGGAAGACAGCGAAGAGGGTGCCTCGTCCCTCCGCATCAGGCAGGAAGCAGTTAAGTGACGAGAATTGAGCGCCCCGGGAGGAGCCACTGGCATCGCCGCCGTCGGAATCCGGCTCCCCCGCCCTCCCAGGCAGCCCCCAGACAGCCCGACTTCTCCTTCAAAGCTCTCGCCACAGTTACAGACACGTTGCCTAGTCTAGTGCAATTACGTGTTTAACGTTTCAACGCCAGACTAGGGCTCGGGTCTGTTTTCATTTAATCCCGGAGCCTGGCACCAGTGTCTGGCACCCAGTAGGCTCTCGCTAATGTTTTGCTGAGTGGCTGAATGGGAGACAGAAACGGACAAGAGGTTTCGGAAAGGGCTCAGTGCGCTGCGTGTCCAGAAGCACACGTGGGACTGGAGGGCATTCTAACTCCAAGGGAGTTGGATTTGCGTGAGAAAAGGTCCTGCAGAGAGGCTACCGTCACCTACCCCCCAGGTTGCAGGATCTACCGACAGGTGGAGGGAGGAGGGCACAGCTCTCCACAATTTACAAAGGGCGTTCACACCTAACGCCAGGGGCCTCCAAGAGGAAGGAAATCAGGGCCAGCCCGCAGAATAGTGAGCGTGGAGCTCAGCGGTGGCCCCATTTCACGGCTGTGAATACCGAGTCCCCGGGGTCAAAGTATGTCCGCAGGTCCTCCGGGCTGACCCCAGGTGGGCGAGAAGCCCAGGGGCTGCAGGCGCAGAGTTTGGCGGGGCTCCAGCACTACGTGCATGTATCCCCAGGGAGCTCACGAACTCTCAGCTGCACTCCGGACTCAGACTGCCGGGCAGGGCGCTGGGGTCCCCAGGCGTGCCCGAGCGCGCGGACACACACCCGCCCGCCGGCGCCCAGCCCGCACCAGTTAGCGCCCAACTCGCCAACTCCGGGACTTTCGCAAAGCTCCCGAGGGCGGGGGAGCCGCGGAGGAGCGGGACGCACCATCGCGGCCCGAGAGGGGGAAGCGATCAGACTCGGTACCCTGCCGCGACCGGGCGGACCGGGAAACACCACGGGAAGGTCGAGGCCGGCGGCACTCGGGCTCGGCTGACGACCCCGCAGAGGGCGGCGCGGGGCGTGCGGCTCAGAGGGGCCCAGGGGCGGCGCGGCGGCGGCGACCCCCCCGGCGGCGGCGGCGCGGTGGCGGCGCCCGGCTCCCCGGCCGGCGAGCGGCGGAAGTGCCGCGGAGTTGGAGCGGGGCCGGCGCCGCGGCCGCTTCTGCTCGCCGAGCTGCTGCCGCCGCCGGGCGGACGGGCGGACGCGCGGAGCTGGGGGCGGCGCGGCGGTGCCGGCGGGGCGCGGCGGGGCTGACCGGCCCCGATGAGGCGGAAGGAGAAGCGGCTCCTGCAGGCTGTGGCGCTGGTGCTGGCGGCCCTGGTCCTCCTGCCCAACGTGGGGCTCTGGGCGCTGTACCGCGAGCGGCAGCCCGACGGCACCCCCGGGGGATCGGGGGCGGCGGTGGCCCCGGCGGCAGGACAGGTGAGTCCCCCAGTTGCCTTGGTGTTGGGGACACTCCCTCCCCGAATTCACTGCTAACCTGCGGCTCCTTCCTCCACCTTCTCCTGTCTGCCTCCTCGGAGTCAGCGCCGGACACTCTTCTGCTCTTCCCATTTTTTGGATGGGAAAATTGAGGAAAATTGAGAGAAAACTGAGTCCTGTCGGGACTTGTCCAGGGTCCCATGTCACTCAGAAACAGAGCTGGAACTAGAACCCAGGATGTAATTTCTTACCGTACCTCACCATCCTCCTTCCTGTCCCCATCTGGTGTTCCGTGACCTCTTCCAGCATCTCTCTCTTTTGGAGGTTCCTATCTGCATAGGTATAGCCCAGGACGACTCCTGCCAATCGGAATGGAAGTGCCGGTCCTTCTGTTTGGTGACCAGGTCTTCTCTGCTTCTCCTCCCCCCACCCCCACCTGCTGATCCCGGTGTTCCCTGCTCAGGTCAGCCCCTACCCTGTTTTCCCAACTGCCCAGTGAGATACCTGGGCCTCCCTCCTCCCCTGTCCACATTTGTTCAACCTTCTTGTCCCCAGCCTTATTCCTTTCTCGGGTCCTGTGGATTCCTTGGAGGATGCAAAGATCATGCTCCCACGGCAGCTTCGGGCTTCTTGGGGTGGGGGAGGGAGTGAGCTCCAGGTCCTTGAGGGATCTGCTGCCCTTGACCTTCTGGGAGTCCAGAGGTGGAGATTCTGGTGGAGGGACCCCCAAAATGTCCCAGAGGCTATTGGTGCCCAGCGCCCCGAGGATTAAACACCAGATGCCCTCCCTATCTCTTCTGAACTTGCCAGTCTGATTAATTGTATTTATTGCAGCCAAAACTGGGATCTTAATTCTTCCTGCCTCCTCCGAAGTTACCCATGCCCGAGTGTGTGTGCATTTAGACTAGCAGCTCCCTGATGGCAGAAGCTCTGTCTCATCACTCCTACCCTCCCAGTAGGTGCCAGTGAGCATATGCATGCCTGAACTGTTTCATACAGTGGGACATTTCAGGCTTTCTTACATTCAGGTTTTCTTTCTTTTCCCTGGTCCCATGGGAAGGGGATAATTTGTGCATCAGGGTCTGACTTGACTGATTGTTGGCTGGCCTCAAGGGAAGAGGCTGAATATTTTGACGGTTGATGGTTTCCCTTTTTCTTCCCAGTATCAGGCTGCTGTCTAGGCAGTCTGGCATCTTGAGCACAGAAGGCTCTTTGCTACAGAACCGACCAATTTGAGCTCAGCCTGTCACTCTGGTAATTGTTTCAAACCACCCCAGAGGATCTGGTTGATCTTTCTGGTAGAGCTTACTGTTTAGAAACTAAGGGCCCAAACTCCTTTCCTAAACCACTGGTTCAAACCCTGACAGCCAACTTAGACCTCTGTTCCTTAAATACTGTGTCTGTAGGGATTTTTCCTTCATGAAATCCCTTTTCTCTGTTTCTACCCTATGCCACCATCAGGGCTGGGAGTCCAGGATTCTGTTCTCAGATCTACTCTGCTGTGTGTGTCCTTCATCGCCCCTCATCTCCTCTGATCCTTACGTTCCATCTATAAAATGTGATTATTGGTCCAGCTCCAACATTCTGTGATGCTATCAGTGCATCAGTGAGGAATACAATGGTCAATTCCTTTTTCTTTCTTGAGGCAGGAGTCCCTCGTAGCATCCCCAGTGGTGGAGGCTCCATACTGATCACAGCCCCAAGTCAAGCGGGAATGACCTACCCAAGTGCAAACTCTCCTTTGGAATAGCTGTAGCCAGTTCTAAAACAGCTCTCGACATTCTGCCTCTGCCTGGAGAAAGCCCTCGTATTTCATTTGCCGTAGATGCCAGAGACATCCTGATTTTCATTTTCTATAGACCCAGATGTGTAGAGAGAAGGTCAAGGTTAACTGCCAGTTTGGCCTGAGCTTTCAAAGTAAATTACTCACTTGTACAAGAGGGTATTGATGGAGTAAGGCAGCCTTTTGGGCATAGAGAGAGGGGAGCAACAGCTGGGTGCTGCTCAGAGCCCCTAACTGAAATGGACAGATAGACTCATCCGGGAAGGTCTAGTTCTTGTTCATTTCTTTTTCTCTGGAATAGCATGATGAGGAGGTGACAGATGTGGTGACGGGGTTTGGTGGTGGTGGTAGGGGGACATGCCAACCTATTATCCTCACTTTAAAGAAAATCTCTTTGCATCCTGGGAGCAGCAGAATGGAGCTGTTTCCCCAATGATAAGTTCTTCTAGGTGCTACAGGATTCAGCATTCATCTGCTGCCTTTCAGAAACACCCTGCCAAATTTCCACACAGCCCCTTTTTGTTTCACTCTCCAGCAGATGCAGAGCACTGGGCTTGGCCCTCAGTCCCTTGTTTGAATGTCAGCTGGCCTCGAGGAAAGAGGCTGACTTCTCGGAGCAGTGGTGTTCCACCCCTCATCCCAGTGCACTGGAACACGCACGTAGCACATCGGGCTGCTATCTGGTACATCTGGCATCCTGAGCACGCAGAGCTTTTTCGACAGGGCTGACCAGTTCTGAGCTGAGCCTGTCACTCTTGTAATTGTTGAGAGTCGTCCGAGAGCACCTTGTTGATCTCCCTGGTAGAAGTAACTGCAGAGGCTCTGGAGGGAAGTCTGGCAGGACTTTATCCAGATGAAAAATGTGTTCCTTATGGGTTTGAGAGAAGTTTCCTTGAGGGTGACATATCCACTGTTCGAGCAATACTCTAAATCCTTGGTTTCTCCACTCGATTGAAGAGTACAGAGTTTCAAATTAAGAGTGTTTATTGTCTGCTAGAACATAAGCCTACATAACTACCATGCCAGCTCATCCTGGGTATACCTCTGCAGCTGGGTAGGGCCACTGATTTATAAAGGACACATAATGCTTCTAGGATTTCAGTACTCATCTGGTTAGACAGTTGGCTTCTTGGAAAGCTGCAAAACCGAACAAGAAAAGCCAGTCTTGAAGCCATCTTCCTTTTAACTGGGGGGATCCCTCTCAATCCAAGCCCAATCTGTTTAACATCTTGGTTTAATTCTGTAGTCTGGGCTGGGTATGGTGGCTCACGCCTGTAATCCTAGTGCTCTGGGAGGCCAAGGCGGAAGGGTTGCTTGAGCTCAGGAGTTGGAGACCAGCCTGAGCAAGAGCGAGACCCCATCTCTATTAAAAAATAAATAAATAAATAATTATTAAAAAATTCTGTAGTCTGTTTCATATTCCAGGCTTGGGAACGTGTTCTTAAAAATCCATATTAGGCCAGGCTTGGTGGCCCACGCCTGTAATCCCAGCACTTTGATAGACTGAGGGGAGGGAGGGATCACTTGAGCCCAGGAGTTTGAGGCTGCAGTTAAGACCTTGTCTCTCAAAAAACAAACAAAAGAACAAAAACCCATGTTAGGAAACTCGTTGCAGCCCCTCCTCATTGCTGAGCCATAATCTCTTGTGAGAATGACTTTATTGGATTATAGCGTACATGGAATAGAAATTGATGGGAAAATGAAATACCAATGACTTTAATTTTCAAGTGTCAGGGATTCTTGTCATTGCATCAGAGAGGAACTTTATTCTTAGAACATCCAGACATCAATAGATTTTTTTTCCCCTTTTTTAAGTCTTCGTGGTGGCAGAGCCTTGCCTATCAGAAAGTTAAATATGTAGAAATGTAGCCTTGGAATGATCTCTTTAATTTTCTACGGAGGGGCTGGTTAGATTGCTGATCACTTCTCTGTCTGCATACCCAGGTGAAATCTGATGCCACTAGGGAAGTGTCGTTGATTTACCAGAGCTAATCTGGCTTCCTGCATTGTTCCTCTCATTCTGGGCTTGCTGTCTGCCAAGGAGCCCAGCTGAGGAAGGCTTAGGAACAGAGGCCTGGCTTCTAGTCTTTTCTGCTACCCTAAACTCACTGTGTGACCCCAGGAAAGTGACTTAACCTTTCTGGGCCTTGGAGTCCTCATGTGCAGCAGGCTTAGATTTAGCAGCAAAAAGGAAAGGCAAGTGTGTATTATAATGGTGCTTCTTCTCCCCTGGCCAGGGCAGACATTGCTAATCAATCTCGTTTTCACCAATCCTAGGCTTGGTCTCAGACTGTTTCTCAACACTGCTACTCAAGTGGAGTTAATGACATGTTGAAACTCATTTGCGATGCAGAGAATAGACACTTGGTTAGAATTTTTCCAAGTCTAACATCCTGGGGTTCTGTGAGTTTGCTTGGAAGCACATGTTGGAAAGGTCTAGATAGTGGGAGTGTGTTTAAACAGGACTCTGTTTCTAACTTGTAATGAGGCTACAACTTAAGGATATTTCATATTTAAATGCCTTTTCTCAGGCTGTAGTCTAAGGATGCTCAGCCTTTAATCTGTTGGCTCCCATGACATGATAACAGATAATAGAATCAGGAATGAAAAAGCAAAGGCCCATTTAAAAGATAACAATCTAGCTTGCTAATTGTACCTTGTCCATGCTCAGCTCTTACACAGAGATGGCATCAGGATCTCCTCACTGTATAAAAAACACCCCGAGGCAAACGCGGCAGCTAGAAGTATGTCTCATGGCAGCTAAATGCTCCTGATGGTGTTTGCAGCGGGTTCTGTGTTTTGCATTTATCAGATCTTCTGCATCTCATGTATGTGTCAGAGCTGGTAAGGGAAGCCTTGAATAAGAGTCTTGCATCTCTAGAGAACCGCTGTCCTCATGCTCAGTGGCATGGGGGGAAAGGAAGTAGCCTATACTGTCTGAGTTCTAGTGGCCAAAAAGTGCATCGTGGCCTCCCCTTCCAGAAATGTCTCCAGGTGGGAAGCACATCCTCTTCTAGCACATAGCACAAGGTTCGGCATGTGGAAGACAGTCAGGATGTGTTTGCTGAACGATCGAAATGTGTCAGAGCAGGCAGAGGGCTTCAGAAGCCATCTAGTCCAACCCTCTCATTCTAGTAGGTATGGAAACAGGCCCAGAAGTGGGCAGATCAGTTAAGCAAGTTCTCACAGGAAGGAATGCAGACCGGAATCCAGCTCT